CTGAACTGCAGGCTGCCCTGCCCAGGGCGATGGGTCCCGTATGCTTTTGCTAGCGACCATTCTCTTGCTTTCTGACAGGGATGTGGATTTTCAGTTGAAGCTTGTGAGCCCCTGGAAGAATTTTCTTTTCTTATCCATCCCCTTCAATTATTTTTCCCTTTCCTTGTGTATCAAAATAAATAACAATTTCCTTTCTCTCTGCATGATAGCAAACATCTATAAAGAACTCAGGTGATCCTCACTGCTTGCAGGGCAGAAGGCAAGCAGATTTCATATGGCACATTATAAACATTTGTCACCTCCAATCTCAATGGATTCATCAAGTTTTCTTCCCCACCCTTCTGCTGTGCTACTTTAGAGTCATAGAAAACCATCTCAAACATACCAGCTTTATAGCCTCTACAGATAGGCACAACCTTGCTTCATCCCTCATTACTGGCAGGATCAAAATGGCATTTTTAGTGTTTACAGGGACTTATATGAGAACTATAATGTGACCTACAGTTTGGAGAACTGCCTTGTCCCAACTCTACCTCTGCTTCTGGGCTGGATGTTGAAAAAACAATCCATTTCCAAGGAAAGTATCAGATATCCCATTTTATATCTGAAGTAACCATAATCTTTTGCCGATTTTTTGGATGACTGTTTGCCACCCTTTTCCTTCCTTCCTTCCTTCCTTCCTTCCTTCCTTCCTTCCTTCTTTTCGCTCGTACATCCCTCATCCTCTCCTTGTTGTAATCTTTTGCCGATTTTTTGGATGACTGTTTCTTCCTTCCTTCCTTCCTTCCTTCCTTCCTTCCTTCTCATTGCTTGTACATACCATCTCCTCTTCCCGTGGTGTGTTGTATGATGATGCCTTAGCTGTTTGTTCCCCCATATTCCACCACCTCTGGTGCCATGGGCATGACGCAGTCGAGCCCTCTGCCATGCGTAACGTGTCCCATGCCACTGTGGGTTGCTGCTGGTCAAGGGAAGGAATGCATAGCCAATGATTTCCAGCGAACCCGTTATATCTGGCAAAGGCCAAAGTTCATTAAAGAAAAATAAATGTCACCTTTTTTTTTTGTGGAATGAATTATCCTACTGGAGTGTGATCATTGTGGTTTTAACCTGGGACCTGCAGTAAAAGATTATATAGCAACCTCTGACCTTTTTGATTTCTGCTTTACTCTTCTATTGTCAAGGGAAATGTCACCGATCAGGTGAAAGTAAAACGTTTAATGGGCCGTATCACAGTAATATCTTACACTGAGTCAAATTGATAAACTCTTGCCAAAAATTCTTAGCATCTGGCACTTCCACGGAAACCACAAACAATGATTGCACATATGGGAGCTTGAAGGCTAGAGGTCATGACAGCAGTTTATTACATGCACCTTACAGTGATCATTTTCCCTAGGAAATTAACCCCTCTCTAACATAAATGCATCAAGTGAGCTCTTCATGGTGTTTCAATCATGTTGTTTTGGCTAAGCAAGGAATACGTGTTAAGCTAAAGTGGTGACAAGGTGCAATTAAGTAAAAGATGATTGATTAGGTTTCAGTGTTTGCTCAATAATGTTTAAAAAAGATGATTGTGAGATCAGAATGAGCATGCTCAGTACTAGCTTCCTCAGAGGTCTTTATTGTGCAGCTACCAGGTCTGTAATGGTGGCACGTAGAGATTCCCTGGCATTCAGAAATGGTTACTGAGCAGCGTGGCCCTCGATCCCGCTGCCGGGCAGCAGCACGTTTCCCTTGCATGGCTGACCGTTGAGGGGACGATTCCTGCCATGCACTGCTGTTCTCAGTCCCCATTTACCGCGGCACTATGGATTAAACCCTGTATCATAAGCAGTTAGGGGCTGGGGGTAAATGCGTTTCACAGTCATGACATGGAAGACAATTATGTTGCTTCTAAGTAAAGTGTGGTGGTTGCAATCACTAAGACTGAAACACCATCCTAGGCATTTTGTTCTCTTTTTCTTCTTTAAACTCTGCCATCAAAAACATCCAGATCACTTGGCTCAGTTGCTGCTAACCATGCCTGAGATGTGACTCACGTTAGTCTCACGACGGCTGCTGAGTGGATTTTCCAGACCCACCCCGCACATGTCGGATGAATATTACCAGGTCCTTCGGAGGGGTCATTGCCGCTCTGTCAGCAGCAACTCAGCCACCCCGCTGCGCCATCGTTACATGGGGAAGGTCCTTCATGCCGGCAAACCTTCCAGGGATGATGTGAACCCACTTACCTCTTCCTACTGTGCTCAGGACTCCCTTCCATTTTCCTTAAGGATCAGAAGTATGTCCCAAGCCACCGCCCCAGTGCCCCGGGGAACCCGGCTCTGTGATGCTGCTAGGGATGCTGCAAGCTGGGGTTTGCGAGAGCACCTCTTTGAACCGTTTCATAATAATTCTGGTTGTCCCCAAAAGTCACAAGAAATTAACAGCAGAATCCAGGAGGAAGGGAAGGGTTCTCACAAGCCCAGAGCTTGGTCACAGCAGTGAAAGGACAGAGAGGCGACTGAAGCACATCAAAGCCATGGGAGCTGGAACCGCAGTACCCAAAGTCTCAAGTGCTCAGGGTGGTGCTTTACGCAGTCCCATGCCCAAACCACGGCAGGCATTTCTGCCCAGCAGATGCTGCCTGGGTGTGCGGGTCCATCTCCAGCCCACCCTCCTCGCCCCGGTGGCACGGGACGGCCGACCGCTGCACCCGCAGCGGCATGGCCAGGGCTTCAGGCGTCTGTCCTCTCCCGTTAGGAGGGTGCTTGGGTACTTGCTTACCTCTTGCCAGGTACCTAAAGTCTTTTGGCTTTGGTGGGATTTAAGCACGGTCTTGCTCATTCGAGGCCTATCTGAATAAATGGACAACCCCTTGCTCGCCTCAAGGATGCAGCCCGGTCCCCTTGTGCTGCACACCCTGTTTCTGCTCAGCAGTGACTGTGAAGGGACTGCCAGATACTTTGCATTGGGAACTCTGTTTTTAAGTGAACACCCTATTTTTTAGCTGTGTATGGCTGTATTACTTGTATATTTATATATTCTGTATTTATGTTATCGAAATGTAGTATTTTGTAGCTGTCTGTTACAATTTGTTTAACTTGTAAAAAATATGACTATGCTCTCTCATACCTAACCAGCTGCCTCTCACCGTAGATTCTCTGCTCCTTTCCCTCTGTGTTGGTAACAAACCACCATAATGTATGTAGATCGGATTTTTTTTTTTAATTTAATT